CTCCGAGAAACTTATACAACGCTCACACAAAACATGTTTTTTGGTACATGAGGATAAAAGTAATGAAGGCTCATAAAATGTCTGTGTAGGTTCTCAGTCATCCACAGCATGGTAGTGTAAGGAGCTTGGAAAAAATGTGACCGGAGTTTAAGTTTTGTAAAGACACTACACCTCTCATCAAGAGGCTTCTTCAGTTCTACAACCAGAAGTTGGAGAATCACAGGTATTTAAACCCTAATGGGTGTTGACCTACCCTTAATCATGCGCCTTGTCACATAAGCCAATGCTTGGGGAACGTTCGGGTCATTATCGCCACAGATCTGGGGTGAAACCACTGTGAGATCTTGCCTCATCCTATCAGGTCACCTGACGTAAGGTGTGAATGGCAGACAAATATACAATGGTATTCCACTAATCCACTAACACTAATACTCCACCTCCACTGCACCAGTTGCTACTACAATTAAAACCCTGCAACACAAGAACTCACAAACTTGGCGCAAATACAAACATAGACAGACGAGGAGAACATCACAGGGAGATGGACTATGTAGCAAGTTATTTTTCTTAAGAGCCAGGGTTTTGTGTGTTATCAGATTAAACAAAACTTGAAACCTCAGTCAGATAAAAGCGTTGACTGAGGCTGTTGTGACTATGTGAATGAGGCACTCACAGAAAGGGAGAGTTTCTACACGTCATTTGACTCTTCTTCCACACATAAGCTAAGTCGGTCACAACTGCAGTCGTTTCATCTTTGCTTTTTGCACATGATGTGGTTCTGTTGGCTTCATTAGGTGGAAATTTCCAGCTTGCACCTCCAAAACCATGACTATGGTTCTCAGCCAGAAAAGGGTAAATGGCCCACCTTGGGGTCTTGTTCTAAAGCTGGTACGAGTGCAGCATGAGACTGACAGACAGATTGGTGCAGACTGACTGACTGGGCAACTGGGATGTATTGATCTGTTGTGGGAGAGAGAGCTGAGCATAAAAATGGAGCTGTCAATTTAACCACCTGTGAGATTATGAATTTAGACTGATATGAGCTCTGAGTAGTGACTGAAAGAATCTGAAGGTTGGCTCTACTCTCCCTTAGAGTGAGGTCATTTGAAAGGGACTCAGAGTAGAACCGCTGCTTCTAGACATCAAAAGGAGCCAGTTGACCTGGTTTGGGTATTTGTTCCTGTACTATATTGGCACATTTGCACATATCCTTCTTGCACATGTCTTGTCTATAATAGCCTGACCATAACTTTTGACTTCGATGCCTCCTGGACGCCTCCTAGATGAGGTTTTTAAGGAATGTCTTATCGGATGGAGGCAAGCCCAGGGCTCGCAGGAGAAATTATATCTCTCAGCTGGTTTGGGAATGACGTGGATGGGCTTGAAGAGGTGGCTGGGGTGAAGGAAGTCTGGGCGTCTCTGCTCAGACACTGCCCCTATGAGCTGGTCCAAGATAAGAAGTAAAAAATGTGTGTATGTATGAATGTATGATGAGAGGAATTCGTGTTGACGGATTTTTCCTGAAATTTCTTTCTTTTTTATATGTTAAGATATTCCAGGGATTTTGAATGTACAGTTAAACTTGTTTGCACTGAC